GAGATTTCGGCGTGCGCGCGCGAAGAAAAAACGAATGTGTCCCGCATGGTATTATTTGACAGGGATGATGGCCCTGGCAGGTGCGCAACCGTTGTCGCAGAAGTTCGAAAAAGTTGCTCGCAAAAGCCCGTTTGACAGAAATGTTTAAAAAGTGTTGGTTTCCTACGAATCCGCAAGAGCGCGCGGGATGAGATTTTGACATTTTTTTGTTGAAAAACCATTGGTTTTTTGATGTTTTTATGTTAAAATCGTTCCGAACACTAAGTTTTTGGAAGGATTTCGTCTTGCGCGCGCGAATGTCCACTTTACCTTATTTTTTGCAAGGGATTCTTGAAATTTGATTATATTAGAACAAGAAATGTCATTTTATAGTGCTTTTTGCAAGGGAAAGCGGGGGGGAACAAAACAACCGGATCTTGATCACATCGAATTACCTGAGGCTTCCTCACGAAAATGATGAAAATGTAGCTGCGGCCTAGGCGGCGCAGGGGGGCCGTGCACCAGGGGTCCCAACAATAATTATTCTTTAATAAATAATAATGTTCAACAACAACAACAACAACAACAATCATTTTAAGACTGTTCGCCCTTATATGCTCGAGTGTCCAATAACGCGTATTTCCCAAACCCTCGATACCCGCCCTCTTCGTCTTCGATCGAACCACTTTTGGGGGGTATACCTTTCTTCCCTGAAGGCCGGGCCCCGGCAAGCGGCGGGGCGGCCGCGGGACCGTCGGCCCGGCCAGCGGCAGCGCTGATCGGCGGGGCGGCCGCGGACCGTCGACCCGACCCCAAGAGGGACGGACATGGGACCGACCACGACGACGACGACGACGACGACGACGACGACGACGTCGAAGACGACGACGGCGACGACGGCGACGACGAGCGAAAGCGAGAGCGAGAGAGAACGACAGCAGGGCCACGAAGGGCACGAAGTAGGAAAGGGCGACAGCGGGTACACAAAGGGAATGCGTATTGGGCCACGAAGAGTGCGAACGAGCGGGGGCCACGAAGTGCAGATAATGCGGGGCCACAGAAGGCAACAATGAGGCCACTGAGGGTAGCAACTGGGCCACGTAGGACAATGAGGGGGACACAAATGGCGACAGCGGGGCCACGAAGGGCACGCACATGGGGCCACAACGGGCGCGACTCCTGGGTGCCTGGGTGTCGGGAGCGCGGCGCTTGGGCAAATTGCAGGAAATTCCAACGCAAGGCTATTCTTCAGCAAGTTGCAAGCAAGTCTCCAGCGAGAGCGCGACACCAGAGCTCCGGGAGAGCGATTCCAGAATATATTGTGAGGAAGTGCCAAGCGAGAGCGCGATTCCTCAATAAAATGCAAGGAAGTCTCGGGCGGGAGCGGGGGTCCTGCCCAAATTGCAAGGAAGTCTCAGGCGGGAGCCGTTGTTGCTGTAACCCAGGGGCCAGGGGGCCAGTTTGGGCAGGAAGACTTTCCCTGTCCAAAAAACAGGGTGCGAGCGTCGAGGGGCACACTTTGATTGAGAAAAAACAGTATGCACCGGTGGGGCGGATCAACAAAAATTATTCTTCAGAAATGAGAATTCAACAACAGCAACAACAACAACAACAACAACAACAATCATTTTACCCGAACGCTCAGTGTTCTCACCAGTGCCAGGGTTTTCATGCGACGCGAGACAATACCCCCACTTCGTGGGGGGGCAGTTCAAGCTCTACCAAATATCCAAACGACTCTTCGCGACCACCCAAACCCAGCTTCCCGCCCTATGACGTTGGGACACTTCACTTCGTGGCGTGCGGACGACCGTGGCTACTACACTGGCGTGGGGTACACACCCACAGAACTTGGTCACTTATTCGGGGCGCGCGTGTGCCCACATCCTGCAATTGTGACATACAATACATGACACAGACAGACAGAGAGAGAGACAGAGAGCAGACAGAGAGAGAGACAGAGAGAGCGGAGTTGGTCACATTTTTGGGGCAAGTTCCTGAGATCGTCGTGTTTTTTGTTGGTCTTGCGCGCGCGAATGTCCACTTTACTTTTTTTTGCAAGGGAGTATTGAAATTTGATTATGTAGAACAAGAAAAAGTAGCTCGCGCGAGCTCATGTAACATAAATGTTGAAAAACCATTGGTTTTGTAGGAGTCGGACAGCGCGCGCGGGATGAAATTTGGACATTTTTTTTTTGAAAAACCATTGGGTTTTTGATGTTTTTATGTTGAAATCGCTACGAAACCTAAGGTTCTGGAAGGATTTCGTCTTGCGCGCGCGAATGTCCACTTTACCTTATTTTTTGCAAGGGATTATTGAAATTTGATTATGTTAGAACAAGAAAAAGTAGCTCGCGCGAGCTCATGTAACATAAATGTTGAAAAACCATTGGTTTTGTGGGATTCGGACAGCGCGCGCGGAAGGACATTTTGACAATTTTTTCTTAAAAAACCATTGGGTTTTTGATGTTTTTATTTAAAATCGCTACGAAACCTAAGGTTTTGGAAGGATTTCGTCTTG